AGATTAAATGAAGCAATTTAAATAATTATTAAAAGGTCCTATACTTACCTATATATGCCATCATAAATAATCAAGACCAACCCCCAAAAATTCTAAAGCAAAGAAGGAAAAAGTAAACAAAAATGCAAAACTCATCTTTATCCTCCACTTTTTAAAGAATCACGGATATATTTATATACGTACTGTATAATAAAAGAATAAATATGCTTTCTCAGTGGAAATAAGTAATACGCCCGTCGTAGATTTGATAAATAAGTACCCCTATTCTATACTATTCAAAGTCGTATAATGTAGAAGATTGTTGATTTCGTGCACCCCTGTTTTCCTTTCTTATTTTTTCATGCTTAAAATAAGGCATAAGGTTAATCCATAAAGTTACATAATTTATGGTTTTATCATACAAAAAAGCAATTTTTGTTAACAAATATCCAGGAGGATGCGTCCCACACTCCCAGTTTGTACATGTATATACGATTGTTAGAAATAAGATATAAATAAGATATAATTGCAGTGTCGTGCAAAGACGTGGGACGCACGCCTTAAAATAGCACACAGACCAGTGGATTCGAATACTGCTAAGTCATGTACTATAGCATTATTCAGTGCAGCGCATGAAACTTTTGTTCTGATTTGGGTGATTGATGATGGGCGGATTTAGGCCATCTTCTGGGTCTTCCGGAAGACGGTCAGATTTTCAAGTTTACATTGACGGGTATCCAATTTTCATGTTGGAAGACGGTCAAAATTAGAGGGTGAATCAACAAAGATAATTTGGAAGACTGTTAGAAAATAACTCTGGGTCCGCCCATCAGATGGGCCTGCCGAGTAATGTGAGAAATTGCTAAAAAAGGAAAGTTCCATCCCTGGCTGTTTTCGCATAAGTAAGAGGGAAACTACATACAGGTGTGGGGACATACATTGTACAGAATGAGAAAGAGAAAATGAACGAGGAGATAGAAAATGAGAAGGAGAGAAGAAGGGAGGAGATAGAGAATGACAAGGAGGGAAGGAGTGAGAAAGTAAATACAGGAGGCAAGTTGCTCAAGCTGAGTTCTCGGCAGAAATTCACCTTAATGAACGGTGCGCTTTCCAACATTGCCGTTAGCGTGAGCTACTCTGTATTGCTGTCATTTCTTCGAGATGTGGTAAGTGATAATTGCATGGTTCTTTTTTAGCATCTCTTTTAGTAAACGGAATGGGCGGATAGAGTCTATAACGATGTTGCCGCTACAAGGTGATGTCATAACAGAACAGAAAAAGGACGCATATGAGGTGGGGATAATCTTTTAGCATAAAGGATGAAATTATGCGCCGGGGATTTCGTCTAAGAAATCAATACAAAAGAAACACAAAAAACGTGACTTATGTGCACGTTTGGTGCATTATCATGACATTAAGACTCTTCATTCTGTCTACAGTGGGTGGTAAACACATGAGCTCTCATCCTCTATGTATATTTAAAAAAAAGGAATAAATAAAAGCTGACATTTAATGAGAACGAAATAGAATGTTTTAATAATTGACCTTGACCTCTGAAGACTTCTGAAATATACCCAATTTAATGTCCATGTGCTTTATTTATTATTTAATTTATTTGTTTATTTTTATCTATTTATTTATTTTTTATTATAATTATTATTATTATTTATTTTATTTTTTATTTATTTATTTTTTTTGAAAACAGCACCTTTCTTTCTTTCTTTGCACTAATAACAGCCAAAATTCTGGAGGAAACCTTTTATCACACTTGCTGCTTACTTTTATTTTTTCATTATGTTCATTCCACATAAATTCACCACAGTTTGCTGTAAGATTGTACACGTTGTCGGAGACATCTAATAATTCACAGGCAATTTCGGTAACTTCACGTAACAACTTTTTACTGCAGTCTGTAACTCCTTATAATACGATATGTAAAGTCTAAAGAGGCAGAGTAGGCTTGTTGACTATTCTAATTAAAAAGCCATTGATTAGGAAGTTCTTGAGGCCATTGTCTTGGTTTGACACTTAAGTGTGTGGTTCTCCACATATCGTTAGAATGTACCGAGCGACGAGTGAACATAGAATGATTGAATGATTATTGTTGTCAGCGTTGGAATTCCTCATAGCAATTTACACGTAACTATTTTGACGACAAATCTGTTAGGTAATATTAACGCGTTATCCAAACCTACAACGGTGTCCGTGTTTCGAGCTAGTTTCTAAATTTAATTCATAGCTAAATATTGCGCGGTTCCGGACAACGTGAACAGATACATCAACACTGAGAATGGTCTAAGGTGAAATCCTATCATCTATGTCTGTACTGTCTCCATGAAATGCCTAAAAACATATTGTGTATTAACCCGACAGCCATTATTATTATTATTATTATTATTATTATTATTATTATTATTATTACTGTATTATAAAAGTCGACTCGTTTTCAGTTTCGTGGTCAGTTAACGATCCACGACGAGGTTAAGACGACCAGCACGCCACGGACACTAGCATTATCTATTACGTCAGGTTCTTTGTTCTTTGTATTTTTTCCTCAGGCAATGAAAAAGGGCGTGTCTCTAACTGGAGCAGGGGCAATCCTTGGGTGTTACGAGGTGGCCTTGTTCTGCTGTTCCCTTACTATTGGTTCACAGGTACTGTTGGCTTGTTGGTTACTGCTCAGTAATGATCTTTTTTCTAGATTTTAATGATATTTATAATTAAAATTAAAATGTATTCCACCTAGGCCTGACCTTCAATAAATTTGTTTCTAAAAACCTTAGCCAGCGTTTATAAATAATAAGACGGATCTTGTTTAACAACTGGGAATATTGAAAATTTCAAGCTATTCACATTTTGTTTTAGTTATCTCGCGTAGGAGCGAGACGCTGTTTCTACACCGGGGCGCTTGTAACAGGTGTTAGTTCACTAGCTTTTGGGTACGTAAGCTATGGTCGACATTGGGCCTTTTGTCGCTTCTATGAATTTCAAACGTTTGATTATATACATACAATGTGCGTTAAAATTTAACATAGCGAAAAAACATTTTAGCACCCCCCCCCTCTTTTAAGGTATGCCCTATCCAAAAATGTGCAAAGCGTGACCAAAGTGTCGACCAGAATGGCCATTTCAACATTTTTTTTTTTTTTTTGCATTATCACAGAACAGAAAAATCTTCAAATAATATATAAATGACTCAAATAGATAGAATTCAAAAGCAGTTTATTTTCTTTCTTGGAAAGAGGGGGTTGTCGGGGGGGGGGGGTTGACCGGGGAAGTTTCATAATTGACCATTCTTCAAACAATTATATATAAATAAGGCCAAATGTGCTATTTAAAATGCACATTAAAGAAAACAATACATAAGAGAAAACTTACATATAAAATATGTTTTAGTTTTTTAGATGCCTGCCCTCCCGGTGACACTTTTCTTGCCCTTGCTATATCAATACGTGTCCTAGAGTCAATAGGTGCTTCCATGTCTTTCACGTCCAACTTTGCCCTAGCAACGAGGGAGTTTAGAGACAACACAGCAACAGCATATGTAAGTAGACAGCTACCATTAACTCATTGATGCTGGTTCGAAATGCTTAAAACCATTGTTAGAAATAAATTTATTAGGTATTCCTATAAGTTGTCCTTAAAGTTGTATGGATTATAAAAGTTTTTCAGGTAAGCATGCATTAAGTTTGTTTTTCAGTCGTGTGTTTCATCTTTGTACTACTTGATGGTATTAATATCATAATAATATCGTATCAATATTTTATGTCATTGCCAAAGCATTTGACATTGTCTTATATACAAAGATGGCTTTTCGTCTACAGCACATATTTTTGAAAAAGCGAATATTAATCAATGAAATTATACTTTCATTGTAGCATGCAAAAACAGGTAATTAAAACATTCTGTCTTTATTTGCTTCATTATTTCTTGTAAAAAAGCGGTTTGATTCAGTTAAATATTTCTTTCAATATTCTACTCTAGGGGTTCTTGGAAACGTTTGCAGGACTTGGTCACGTCTTGGGCCCCTTGATCGGTGGCGGCCTCTATCAACTGGGAGGGTTTAGACTGCCGTTCTTCGTGTCGGGTCCACTGACGATCATCACAGCAACTGTAGCATTTTTTACCTTACCAACCGAGAAAGAAGAGCAAGGTAACTTGTTACAGTTAGTATTGCTAAGTTGCCTGATGAGTTATTGAAACTTTTGCCTCTTTGACAAGATAGCGCCAGTTCTTAATCCAAATAAGGGTCAAATATGTATCTGAGCATTGAATAAAACAAATGGCCAGGTTCCGAAAGTAGGTAATTTATGTTTATTCATCAAATTACGACCACGTAATTGCAGTAATCATGTGTACCATGCACATTAAAGAAAACAAAAGATCTGAAAGAATGTATAAGATAAATTAATTATTCTATATATTGTCATGATGCAAGCAAAACCCACTGATCATGGCATGAATGGGAACTAATCAACATAGTGGAAGTTAAAAGGATGTTAGAAGAAAAAGGGTGAAAAGAGAAAGAAAATACTTTACAACGTAACTTACAGAATACATGCAGGCGACTTTAAAGCCTCCAGAGCTAAGGAGATTGGTCGAGAAATATGAAGGAAGATGGTGGATCAGAATCACCGTCACTTCGCCAGAATATGTATGGAGATATATACTGTGCACGCAAAGAATAACCTGTTAGTGTTACATCATACTTCCCACGTCCATTACCTCCTTGAAGTCTGAAATTTAATTTCATATCAGTTGTTGGCCTTTTTTATTCACAGATATACCAAGAGACTACGGACAGCTAATTAAAATAGCAAAGATACCGGTCATACATCTAGAACAAGTAGCCGTTTGGGTAGGATATGTTGGCTGGAGTGCTTTAAGTCCCACTCTAGGAGGCCATTTACAGAATGTAAGATATCTGACTAAGAGTGCACTGTCATTCTAATGCTAGTGAAAAGATACTTTATAATTACGTTATTGTGAAACGTAGGTAACTAAAAAGTAACGAACATGTTTTCTGCTTTTAAATCAATTTCCAATATGTCGTTTAGCATTTTTTATATTTCATTCTTTTTTTAATATGTCTTTCCTTTTTCAGTTTTTTTTTTAAATTACTGTCGTGTTTACAGGTAGATTCCTCTGTTCAAGGCAACCATATCATGATCGGTTTGGCGTTTTCTCTGACTGGGACCTTTTACACGTGCTCGGTACTATTGTTTGGTTTCATAACAGACAAATACGTAAGCTGTTTTTCTTTTTAGTTTTTATTTTAAAATTCTCTTTATTATTTTATGAAAATCATTATTTTTCCTCTTTTTTGTAATATGTTTCGTTTGGTCTAAAGTCGCATAATAGCAACTAAATTTAATACCTCACCTGGTGAAAGTTTCACAGCAAAACTATAGTTCCAAAGCATACAAATGAGTATAAACTTCCAAAGATATATTAAATAAATGTCCTGTTTTTCTTATAGAATCAGTGTAAGGTAATAATAATCTTGGGACTCATCGTCATGGCCGTAGCCTTAACTCTCATTGGACCCTGGGCACCCTTCACTCACCTATTCCCAAACGGCAAGGGGTAGGTACCAATGCCATAACTTAAGAACCATGAAGACATTTCTTTAAAATATGCTGTTGCTGTGCTAAATGTTGCAATGTTGTAATCGATTACTCTATTTCGAAAAACAGGAATGAAATACACTGTTGTTCATACCTGTCACAACTAATGTTCAAGTTTATGGATTCAGTCGCAAACGTCTACATGTAAGGGCTCTGTTATCTTTGCATATACAACAGCTGAAAAACATACAAAAGAAGCACAAAGAAACACAAAACACGAGCAGTCTAGAGATAAGTTCAGTCATTTGTTAAATATGGTCTCCAGAAAAACAACGCATTCGCATATGGCCATCTCATGGGTAGAGTAGGAACGTAGATTCAGCTAGGAAGACCAGATGCTCTCAGTGCACGTCTCTTAGGTTTCTGTTTTGAGTTTGCGTAGCCGTGGTTAATGCTATATGGTAACGTGTTCACATAGGTGTCTTGGCCATTATTCGTGGCATATTGCCATGTTGGACCTATTTCCCGTTCAAAGTTTGGCGGGATAGGCCTATCAAACGATGAGCCCATGACAGTGGCAATTTTCGTGTGGGTTCTTCTGGCAATGTTCATGATAACGCGAACAGAACCTGACGTCAAATTGTGTCAAACTGTGAATCTGTCAGAAGCTACACTGCGGGTCGAAGCTCTTCTCGGGGTAAAAACTAGTCTCATAATATGTGGCCTTGAAACCCAAAGCTCTCTGGCAATGTTTGGTTCCCTGAAGCCCAGTTCATTGAGTGCAGTTATTTGGTACTACAAACAACGCGAGTTGTCTTGGTATGGCTTTAGTAATAGTTTGGTGGAGCGCTAGGTCAGATCTCATCTTCAGAAACACCCCTTTTATAACCAAACTTATAACCAAACTTCGTGGCAGCCACAGTTCATATGTGCTCATATTTGACCCAGGTAATGCAAAATGATCATTGGTTTCTGTGGGAAATAAAAAAAAACAAAAAAGCAACTTATGCGTGGCTTTTTAAATCTATAACATCAGTTAAAAACAAATTATAAAGGTTTGACAACCATTTTCAGCAAGTTACATCTTGATAAAAATAGATTCCCTCCCTCCCCCCCCCCTCCCTCCCCCATGTCCCGAGGAGGCTATGTCTCGCCCTAAACTATTTAAGATCAGCTATAAACTTATCTGTATGTATGCAGTAATATTGTACATTTTGGATTTCAGAGCATCATGGGGAGTTTACTTGGGGCAATGTTTAAATGGAGTTGGAAACGCCTGTGTCAATGTGGCTGTCTTGGCGGATTGTATAAAGGAAGCCGTGTAAGTTACGTGCAATTAGAATTAGCTTATATCAATGTAGCTGCCATGGCGGATTTTATGGCGGACGTCGAAAAGTTGGAAGATTTGTGAGGGTCTTGTGCCCCATTCCTCTCTGTTGAGTATTATTAGAAGTGTCACCCCCTAACTCAGAGTAATAAAAGTAGGCAGATCTTGGGCAGCCTGGTCTACTTATAATGCGACTAATGAGTATAAATCCGCTATACCATGGAATTGTATTGTTGGTCTTGTACACGTACAGCAAATGTTATTCCTGTCTTCCTCCAATATGGCAAGACCCAGGCAATTATCTTACGGTTATAGGTGCAAGGCGAAATATAAGCAATGTCAGAATATCGATACAGTTGAATTGTTCAGTCAGAACCGTGCAGAGGGTCTGGTCTCGGTATAGAAACCCTGGATCAAGAGACAAATTGTCTCTGATGGGTCGTCCAAGAAAAACTACTGGTCGTGAAGACCGACGACTGACTTTGATGTCCAGGTTGTCAAAGTTCGACACTGCTTGTCAGTTGACAACACAGTGGAACAATTTCACACATAAGAATGTGTCTGTGAAAATTGCTAGGCGTCGGTTACATGCTCATAGTGTGTACAGCAGGGTAGCAAGACTGAAACCTCTTATATCGTTACAAAACAGGCAACGTAGAGTGAACTAGGGTCAAAAGGATCTGGAACTGGACAGTCCATGACAATTGGTCCTATATATATTTGCATCAGCATCCATGGCGTGGGCGAATTGATAGTTGTTGATGGAAACATGAATCACTAGAAATATATCGATGTTTTGGAGTCAGGGTTGCTACCATCTATTACTAACATGTTTGGTGTCAGGAATTATCCATTTGTTCACCAGGATGACAATGCTCCTTGTCACAGGCCCAGAGCAGTTGATGATTGGTTTGACCAACAGGACATTCGCAGGGTGATGTGGCCTGCCCAGAGTCCGGATGCAAACATAATAGAAAATGTGTGGAATGATATGTCAAAACTTTTTTGACAAATGCCCGTCTCTCCAGCAGAGAAATTCTGTTATATTCAGTGTCTCATGCTTGGGCCAGCATTAGCCCTGAACGCATCAGACAATTATATGAATCCTTGCCTCGTAGACTGGCACCTATTATTAGGTCACGTGGCTATGCCACTAAGTATTAATTTTGGACTTGAAACTGCATATTTTGGTAGAATGTATATTTTGTTCTCATTTTGTGATTTTTTGTAAAATTTGATGTTAATAAAATGATACCAGGAGCCTATCATTCCACAGTCATCTCCCCCATAGTATTGGTTCTGTAGGGGTGACACTTCTTTTGTCCAGTGTGTGTAGTATTATAATCCAGATTTTTCGAAGTTTTGTAGCCGTCATGGCGGATTGTGAAAGAAAATCATGGGAGTGGTAAGATTGGTTACTGGGCCTTATCTTCTGTTTCCCACTCTGTAACATGATTAGTAAAAACATTCAGCATTCATTCAGAAGGATGAGAAATTTCTCTACACCATTACTAAACTGGCTTATTTTTACTTTTTTTCATTTCAGTTAATAAATAACAAAATTTTTAAAAAATCAACTCTGCTTCAGATTTATAGATATGCTATAATATTAGAATTAATCGGTTATTACATTTCTTTTTTGTTAGATGAGTATGGCTTGACGTATTGTTGCGTGCGCCAATACAGTTCTCACGTCTCGCTGTGTTAGTGGAGCATGTTTCACCCCATCTTTGTCTTATTTGATATTATACTGTTGTCACGTTTCATTGTGATAGTTGAGATTCTAAACTCATCAACAAACATTCATTTAGCAGGGCGCGAAACTTTCACATGATAGCAAGACTGAGTAACTCATTCCTTTTTGTTATGAAAAGATAACAAAATTATAAAAGGATTTATTATATATCACGTTCTTATTTTGTTAGTTGAGCATTTTTGATACATTGTTGTGTACGCCATGAGACTTATCATTGATTAGGTTCGTATACTCGATCTTGCTCTTTTTTATTGTGATAGTTGAGATAATTTAACCTAATCAATATATTTAATATTATTGCAGGTTCCACGGATTACCCGATAATATANTAAAACCGTAATTCAGTGGACAGAACAGTAGCTAAAAGCGTGACAATATAAACCTTCAATTCTGAATATCTTTATATCATACAAAACAATCCTTTCAATATTTTATTTACATTTAAGGAATTTTGTCGGGACGCTTATTGGAGCAACAATCGTGGAACATAATCCATTCAGCACGTTATCGGCAGTCCTTACGGGGCTCTGTCTGGGAGAAGTAGGTACTGGCAAGACAAAACGGAAAATATACTTGAAACACATCCTTGTGAAAGGGGCCTCAAATCTTTATTTGCATCACATTTTCAATAAACGAAGGCAAAAAAGGAAGTAAAAAGAAATACAAAAATCCACACAATGATACGGCAAACAGAAGCTGCCTCTATTTATGACCATATTATCTATTTTAGTGTGTTTGTTTTCAGACTGTTGCGTATGTGTAAATGTGCTTGTATGTACAGTGTATGTAGTGTGTGTTTATGAACAGTGCGTGTATGTGTGTGCATGTACGTCTTTGCATTGTATATTAGGGGGTCGCAGATGTCGTTATGTAAATCACAATTTTAGTGTATAGAGACGACCATGGCCTCTGTGAACTATTTTAACGTAATATGTATGTTCGTTTTCAGGCTGGTCTCCTTGTTCTATACTGTGCGGTAGTTTATGCAGTACTCACAAGGAGGCGTAACAGGTCCGAATACAGCAGCATTGAAAGTGATAATGCCAGTAACAGTGACACACAAAACGCCGAGGAAACATTGCTACTGCCGCCAACCCCTTGCCCGATAATACAGAGTCAATACGTGCAGCCAGAAAAATATATGCCTAATGATGACGTCAGTTCTAACTAGAATTGGGAATTGTAATTCGACTTTTAGTCCAGGGTTCACTCTCTTGCCTCCAATACACGTTATATATCCAAAATTCGCAGGGGACGTGCGATCTTAAAATCCGTGCGTCATGTCGTGATCGAGGCTATAAAGAGAGTCCCGGATGCTATACTACCTAGCGGTCAGTGAATAACAACTCACGTCATGTTGATGAAGGCCTAGAAGTCCAAGTTGGCCACAAGCTTGTGGTATGGAAAATATTTCAGCTCGTGTTAAATAATAACTGTGTATGGACATTTAAGCGAAACTGATTATATTTAATATAGGCTATTTGTCAGTGAATCTTCATGTCGATTGACATGCAGCAGAAAGTGGGCGGTCGTAGAATATCGGTCGAAAAGCTGGCAGCTGAAAGGCCCCGTTCCCATAACCTTATCGTACTAGCTGGATCGACCTAAACTTCTCAGGGATTGCGGCTAAATTGTATTTTGTTTAAGCGGCTTAAATGTCTGGCACGCTCCCTCGTAACTTAATGTACTTGCTTTGCGAGGGGGCGCGCCTGACAATACAGCTGATTACATAGATTACGTCTTAGCGAGAATCCCCGCGGAGATGGATCCATCCTGCTTATACGATCAGACGATTAGAACACAGTCTAAGAGTAATTTGAATTGCAGGTCATAGAGTCCAAATTACACTGAAGATAAATCATGAAAACACATACCAATAAAATTGATGACTTTGGATGTACATTAAATGGATTTTACTTCTGTAAAACTGCTCCCATTTATGCGTGTATGTTATTAGTGCAATAAGCTGTTAGACATATGTACGAAATACATGTACTTATTCGATACTAATATATACTTATTCTTATAAACATTAGGAATTAATTGAGAAGTAGTACAAGCTTTTTAAATATGTTTTATCCTTCTAGAGAAAATATGAATTAATTTTTAGGTATAACCTCGTTACAGTTTTACCAAACATATGAGAAGACTCATGTCGATCAAGGTAGCTTTATAAGATTAAATGAAGCAATTTAAATATTAAAAGGTCCTATACTTACCTTATATATGCCATTATAAATAATCAAGACCAACCCCCAAAAATTCGAAAGCAAAGAAGGAAAAAGTAAACAAAAATGCAAAACTCATCTTTATCCTCCACGTTTTAAAGAATCACGGATATATTTATATACGTGCTTTATAATAAAGAAATAAATATGCTTTCTCAGTGGTAATAAGTAATACGCCCGTCGTAGATTTGATAAATAAGTACCCCTATTCTATACTATTCAAAGTCGTATAATATAGAAGATTGTTGATTTCGTGCTCCCCTGTTTTCCTTTCTTATTTTTTCATGCTAAAAATAAGGCATAAGGTTAATCCATAAGGTTACATTATTTATGGTTTTATCATACAAAAAAGCAAGTTTTGTTAACAAATATCCAGGAGGATGCGTCCCACACTCCCAGTTTGTACATGTATATACGATTGTTAGAAATAAGATATAATTGCAGTGTCGTGCAAAGACGTGGGACGCACGCCTTAAAATAGCACACAGACCAATGGATTCGAATACTGCTACGTCATGTACTATAGCATTATTTAGTGCAGCGCATTAAACTTTTGGTCTGAATTGGGTGATTGATGGGCCTGTCAAGTAATGTGAGAAATTGCTTAAAAGGGAAAGTTCCATCCCTGGCTGTTTTCGCATAAGTAAGAGGGAAACTACATACAGGTGTGGGGACATACATTGTACAGAATGAGAAAGAGAAAATGAACGAGGAGATAGAAAATGAGAAGGAGGGAAGGGGGGAGGAGATAGAGAATGAGAAGGAGGGAAGGAGTGAGAAAGTAAATACAGGAGGCAAGTTGCTCAAGCTGAGTTCCCGGCAGAAATTCACCTTAATGAACGGTGCACTTTCCAACATTGCCGTTAGCGTGAGCTACTCTGTATTGCTGCCATTTCTCCGAGATGTGGTAAGTGACAAGTGACTGGTTATTTTATAGCAAGTAACTTGTTTAAATGGCTTAAAATCTCTTTTGGTGGCCGGAATGGGCGGATAGAGTCTATAACGATGTTGCCGCCACAAGGTAAGGTCATATAACAAAACAGAAAAAGAACGTGAAATCATATCATCTATGGCTATACTGTCTCCATGATATGTCTAATAACATATTGTGTATTAACCCGACAGCCATTTTATTATTATTATTATTATCCATTTTTATAGGTCCCTTGATGCAACAAAATCAAATGATAAACATTCGTTTCATTTTAAACCTGAATATGAAAAATTAAATAAACGAACTTCATGTTCACATGTATGTTTCTTATAATGAGGTATTTGCTTACTGTATTATAAAAGTCGACTCGTTTTGGTCAGTTAACGATCCGCGACGAGGTTAAGGCGACCAGCACGCTACGAACACTAGCATTATCTCTTACATCAGGTTCTTTGTATTATTCTCAGGCTGTGAAAAAGGGCGTGTCTCTAACAGGAGCAGGGGCAATCCTAGGGTGTTACGAGGTCGCCTTTTTCTGCTGTTCCCTTACTATTGGTTCACAGGTACTGTTGGTTGGTTGGTTACTGCTCAACCAGCTTTGATCTTTTTTCTAGATTTTGATTATATTTATTTTTTTATTCAAATCTGTAATTAAAATGTATTCCACCTAGGCCTTCAATAAATGTGTTTCTAAAACGTTGCACCAACGTTTATGAATAATAAGACGGATTAAATGTCTTGATTAACAACTGGGAATATTGAAAATTTCAAACTATTCACATTTTGTTTTAGTTATCTCGCGTAGGAGCGAGGCGCTGTTTCTACACCGGGGCGCTTGTAACAGGTGTCAGTTCACTGGCTTTTGGGTGCGTAAGTTATGGTCGACATTAGGCATTTTGTCGTTTCTATGAATATCGAACATTTGATTATAAACATACACTGTGCGTTAAACTTAAACATAGCGAAAAAAATATTTTAGCACCCTCCCCCTCAAGGTATACCCTATCCAAAACTATGCATTGCGTTTAATCATACCTGAGTTGACAGACGTACAAAGCGTGACCAAAGTGTCGACCAGAATGGCCATTTCTACATTTTTTTTTTTTTTTTTTGCAATATCACAGAACGGAAAAATCTTCAAGTAATTTATAAATGACTCAAATAGATAGAATTCAAAAGCAGTTTATTTTCTTTCTTGGAAAGAGGGGGTTGTCGGGGGGGGGGGGTTGACCGGGGTTGTTTCATTATTGACCATTCTACAAACAATTATACATAAATAATACCAAATTTCTTCTAAAAATGCATATTAAAGAATAAAATACATAAGAGAAAACTTACATTTAAAATACGTTTTAGTTTTTAAGATGCCTGTCTTCCCAGTGATACTTTTCTTGCCCTTGCTATATCAATACGTGTCACAATTTTAGTTTTTTTAGTTTTTTAGATGCCTGCCCTCCCGGTGACACTTTTCTTGCCCTTGCTATATCAATACGTGTCCTAGAGTCAATAGGTGCGTCCATGTCTTTCACGTCCAATTATGCCCTAGCAACGAGGGAGTTTAGAGACAACACAGCAACAGCATATGTAAGTTGACAGCTACCCTTAACTCATTGATGCTGGTTCAAAATACTTAAAGCCATTGTTAGAAATAAATTTATGAGGTATTCCTATAAGTTGTCTTTAAATTTTAATGGATTATATAAAGTCTTCAGGTTAGCATGCATTAAGGTGGTTTTCAGTCGTGTTTTTCATCTTAGCACTACTTGATGGTATTGATATTATAATAAAGTTATTGCCAAAGCATTTGACATTGTCTTATATAGAAAGACGTCTTTTCGTCAACAGCACATATTTTTGAAAAAGCAAATATTAGTCAATGAAATTATAATTTCATTATAGCATGCAAAAACAGCTAATTAAAACATTCTGTCTTTATTTGCTTCATTTTTGTTGTAAAATAGCGGTTTGATTCAGTTAAATCTTTCTTTCAAAATTCTACTCTAGGGGTTCTTGGAAACGTTTGCAGGACTTGGTCACGTCTTAGGTCCCTTGATCGGTGGCAGTCTCTATCAGCTGGGAGGGTTTGGACTGTCATTCTTCGTGTCGGCTCCACTGACGATCATAACAGCAACTGTAGCATTTTTTACCTTACCAACCGAGAAAGAAGAGCAAGGTAACTTGATACAGGTGGTATTTGCTAAGCTGCCTGTTGAGTTATTGAAACTTTTGCCGCTTATACAAGAAATCACCAATTCTTTCTCCAAATTACGGTCAAGTACAATGTACTTACCTGAGCAATTAGAAAACAAATGACCAAGTTCTGAAAGTAGGTAGAAAGACAATAATGTCATAAATTTGCGTAAGACTAGCTTAGTTTATTGGTCATGGAATGAGAAGGAATCAAATGGGGAAGTCAATAATTAAAGTTAAATGGAATGGCAAGTTAAACGGGGAAGGGGGAGAAAATATTGGACAGAGTAATAGAAAGATGACGCATAGGTAGTTTAGAAAGTTGCTGAAATTGACAGGAGTATAGAGACAGATGGAGGTGCATAATCGATTTCGACAGTCAGCATGGAGTTATGAATAGTGCATGTTAAGAATCAATTACTTCTTCATATTTATCACTGTCAAATGCTTTCTTGAAGTCTGTATTTTTATATCAGCTGTTCGACGTTTTATTCACAGAAATATCGTCAGACTATGGACAGTTAATTAAATTAGCGAAGATACCCGCCATACCGCTGGAACACCTAGCAGTTTGGGTAGGATATATTGGACTTAGCGCTTTAAGTCCCACGCTAGGAGGTCATTATGAGAGCGTAAGCTGTTTAATTGCAACTTTTTTTGTCATTATATTTCTAATGAAAAGATACCTCGTACTTACATAATTGTGAAATGCAGGTAACTTTTCTCCCAAAACATTATTCATTACGTCTTTTGTCATCGTGGGGTATTTTATTAACGATTTCCAATGCCTATGACGCTTATGTTAAAAGATCATCTATAGATTGATCACTTGGTTGATTCAAATGTATCTTTCAGATCTCAAGAAGCAATGACTATTTGCAAAATATATGGTATTAGCATACTCATGGATGTAGATCAGTTTGTTGAAAATACATGTATTTCTTCAATCTAGTTATTTTGTGTTCTTTTTTGTGTACTTTCCCTTTATTAAATACATATCATATTTACAGGTGGATTCATCTGTCCAAGGTAACCATATAATGATCGGCCTGGCGTTTGCTCTGTGTGGGATCTTTTACACGTGCTCCGTGTTTTTGTTTGGCTACATAACAGACAAATCCGTAAGCCGCTTTTCTTTTTAATCTCCATTTTATAATTCTCTTTAAAATTATTATTATTATTATTTTTATTATTGTTAGTATTATTATTTTCGTTATTATTTTGGCATTTGCGTAATGCTATAAATCTTTGGGTTAAGGCCATATGGTAACAAAGAAAGTGAATGTGAATACAACAGTTTTTCATTTAATCGTGGGTCATGAAATGAAGATGCATATTTTTTGGGGAAAAAAATATATATATATATCATCTTCAAGACAGATATGTCCCCGGTGTAACGTGATAGAGAGTCTCCAAGATGGAGAGTGCGCTTCCCTTTCATTTGTACAGGTAAGCCTCGCCCTAGGTTTTGACCCAGTTAAGTCAGACTAACCCTAACCATTATAACAAAATGGAGGGCGGATTTTTTGTTACACGGACCCTCAGTTCCGTTACACCGGAATGGACATGAGCCGCCTTTATATACCTGCAACATTCCCCATACCAGATGATGCACGTCATCCACTTATTCCTGCAGTTTGTTTACCCGAAATCTGAGAATATGCCCATATTGTGGGGTAAGGGGATTAATCACGCCATATTTGTTTTATAGAATCATTACAAGTTAATGATAATAACGGGACTAGTCGTGACGGCCTTGTCCTTTACTTTCATTGGACCCTGGGAGCCCCTGACTGACCTATTTCCAAACAACAAGGGGTAGGTATCATTATCATACATTTTAATTGATGACAATTAACCGCAAATTTTGATTGAAATATACTGTTGGCGGGTGAAAATATTGATAATCGAACGTTCTTACTATAATGATTGTTCTTTAATTGTCCCGAAAAGTCTGTCTCGATCTGACACATCTACATCAAGGGGTAAGTATCATTGTCATGGATATTAAAGGGATAATAACTCTTCGTATGAGATCTATATTTCACAATAAAAGCATTGTGAATAACTCATACAAATATAATATATTCTGTTTTACCACAACAACGGCAGTTATAGCTATTATTCTTATATCTGAGCTTGTCGTCAGACCACGTGACCGCCATTGATGGCTATATATATACTCTGTTATAATCTCTTAAGAGATTTTAACAAAAAACCAAACTTTATAGAAAAAAACCAGGGACTAACTTTGAATGTAAAAATGGATTCATTAACCATTGGTAAGTATGGGAAAATTGTTGTTTACTCCAGGAAAAGTCATTTTTTGGCCAAAACGAAGAGTTATTATCCCTTTAATTTAAGAAGACACGTACATGATAACAAATACACTGCTGCTGAGTTAAGGAATCGCAGAGGTAATCGATGACACTCTTTTGAAGCAACAAAATGGAAATAATTCATTGTTATTAAAAGTGAAACTGCGCCTGTGCCTCAGTCTCTGTGTTTCGTTCCAAAATATGTAAGGTCTACCAAAACCTGATCCTCATGTGTCCAGTAATACTCCACATTTTGGATTTCAGGACAGCATGGGGAGTTATCTTGGGGAATTGTTTATCTGGCATTGGGTGCGCCTGTATCAATGTGGCCGTCTTGGCGGATTGTGTAAATGAAGCCGTGTAAGTTATATGGACTTAGAAATGCTTGTATCAATGTAGCCGTCATGGCGGATTTTGTCACAGAAAGCGTGAAAGTTGGAAAATGTTAAGTATTATTAAAAATAAAATATTGTTTTGAAATATCGTTTTCCAAAACTAGACCAAGTGTCCATTTAGCAAGGCGCTTAACTCTAGCCCGAATAAAAAAAACTGGCTAGTGAACATATTTTTCATTTAAATGAATAACAATTAATGAATCATAAAATATATTTTTCTCTATTCAAAAAAGGTGAAAGTGGTATATACATTTGTACTTTCTCTGTTATCACATTTCATTGTGCCAGTTGATATCATTTAACTTGCCAGTTTAAAAAACAATTATTGCAGGTCTCACGGATTACCCGATAATATAGTCACATATGGCAATTTGTCAGCAATATTTGATACATCAATGGGTCTGGGGTAAGATTTCGTTTGGTTCTTTTCCTTTCTTTTTTTTTTTACTTTGTATAGCTTTGTTGATCCGTTAAATGATGAAGTTATATCAGAAAAACGAACAGATACTTGTGAAATAAGTTACCAGTAATACCATCCTCCGTATGTACGCCTGTACTAAGGCGATTTTTCCCTTTTAGAAACGCATTTTATTGGACGTAGCAAATGTTTTCAATTGCTTTACCTTATGCTGAACTATCCGTATGCTTAAAATGTTTACTTGTTTAAGGAGTTTCATTGGGCCCTTTATTGGAGCAGCTATCGTGGAACATAATCCATTCAGCACGTTATCGGCAGTCCTTACGGGGCTCTGTCTGGGAGAAGTAAGTACTGCCACGGCAAAACAGTAAATATACTTGAAACAGGTCCTTGTGAAGGGGGCCACAAATCTTTATATCCATCACACTTTCAATAAAAGAAGTCAAGAAACAAATAAATAAAAATACACAAAATACAGAATGATGCCATCACAGAAAGTGCCTCTATCTATGACCATCCATTTTAATATAAATACTTCTTTCCAACCGTACGAGGGTGTTTGTGTGCGCGATATATGTGTACGTATGTGTGTGCGTGTATGTGCGTACGTATGTATGTATATATGTATGTACAATGTATACATGTGTGCTTGCGTGTCTGTGCATTGAGTATGAGGGGGTCACACATGTAATTACATAAATCACATTTTCAAGGTATGGAAGCGGCTCACGCCTCCATGAACCTAGACTTTATTCTACTGTGTGTGTCCATTTTCAGGCCGGTCTGCTCGTGCTATACTGTGCGATAGTCTTTGCGGTCTTTAAAAGGAGTCAATACAAGTCCGGATACAGGAGTATTGACGGTGACAATGCCACTTACAGTGACACAAACGACGCCAAAGGAACATTGCTGTTGCCGCCAATCCCTTACCCGGCAATCCAAAAACAATACGTGCAATCAGAATAAAGATTGATGATGACGTCACTTATAACTAGCCTCGGGGCTGGACTGTAATTCGACATACCTGAAGGTCTAACAGTGATTGCAATCCTATTTAGATCAACATATCGCTTAACTGCTAATAGCAGAAGTTGCTTGGGGATTTAGTGCCCCTAATGCCCATTACCCATGTGCCTTTAACACACTCTTCTATGAAAAGACAAGTCATGTTTTTATTCAGTCTATAGTCACGACATCCACATATTTTTCTGTTTGTCAAAGCCAGTTACATAAATCTGTATGCAGCAGGTCACCTTAATATCTATCTCCACAACCATCCCAGTTGAATATAGATAGAGTGTCATCTTTTTCTGCTGTTGGTCGCCTATTAAGGCGGCCTCTGGATGGGATATGTGTACCAGATAATTTTCAAAACTTAAATAATACTTCTTTTGTTTGAAGGGTCGGCAAATATAACGTCGAGTTTGCCTATGGGGCACTTCTACTGCTAAGTGAACCAGTAATATGTATGCCTAGCCTACCAGAAGATCAATTGTTATTCACATATAAGATCGTAATGTTCAGGCCTTGCGAGAAAATGTATATTTTTATTACAAATCTGAAAACAATAGAAATGTGTCATGTAGTTGACAGGTTCGTCTGAAACATAACACATTTTCATCATTTACTGTGTAAAAGTAATGGTGGTCGACAAACGCTGCATGTGCTTATCAAACCATATTACTACGCAGAGTGACTCTGTTGCAATGTATGCATGTGCGCATTATAGAGTAGCTCCATTAACATTTACTCGCGTTGGAACAGTTTCAAGTATACAGATAAGATTTGTATAGCTACCAGTACAGGCATGCGTTTCTATAACAGCACCCTGGACAGCGGAAGTAAATCAATACAATTAAAATTAACCTATTATCCAACTTCCATCAACCTTGAGTTTTACCCATTTTAACCCCCCCCCCTTTCAAAAATGATTATTACGTTTAACGTTTAAGTGTATTTCATTGCAACACGTACGGTTAAAGAAGAAAAGTAACCCACTACAAAATGTTGTACAATAGAATTGCCAGTTTTTAATAACAGTATGCTCTGTTCAAACTGTTGCATTTAAATGACAGGTGTTTCCTTACTTCTTTTCAGCAGTATATGTTGCTCAGTAATAATATTGTCCTGTTCATCCCTTGCACGAAGACCGAATATTCTATCACGAAGGCACAAAAGCAAACACAATAGAAAAGTCGTGTGCTTGTTATGGTGTTCAACCCGCCCCTTTCCAACATTAACGGGACCCACTCCCCCCAATTAGTGTCATTGCACGGTGGCACACATGGTCATTCACAGCGTCAGGGTTGACGGAACGCGCTTTAAGCCAGATACAGCACTGGCCACCGACGGACCTCGGCAATTCACCTTTCCGGATACATTTTTTTACAGTTTTATTAGATTGTGCAGGAAATCGTGACGTAGAAATGTGAAGAGGTTTAAGCTGGTTAGTCATTTTAAGCTGGCTCTCCTATAAGTATTTATTTAACATTTCTATATTTTGTTATAAAACAGGGGAGACCAAGTTACGGAATTCTTTTAAAGCTGCCTGATTTATGTTATTGTCACAATTTTACGCGTTGGTCATATCTGAACGCGGCAAATACTGACAATTTACAACAGACCACCGTCCTTAAAGTGTGTGAACGAAATATACGAACATTTAGGTATATTTTATGCATTTCTGATTGGCATCCGCTGATCGACACGAGTGCAGTGTGACTTTTACTGAAAAATGCGTCTGTAAAGTCAGTGAGACTTAATATGGCTGTTGTTACGCTAGACACCTGAAAAACATTAAGTCGGAGCACCAAGACATCATCACATGGAAGGTCACATGAGATAAAATAAGAATTTATTCAACCACTATATAATATAATGAAACAGTACTTTTCGCTTTTAGGAGATGTAAAGATCAATTGTTAATGTTTGCAAATACAGGGTTGCTACTTAATATTGAATATTTTTTATCATTGTTATTTTTGAGTGCTGATTAATTTTTTTTGGGCTTGAGTCATTAAAAAAGTAAGTCACTGAGTGATAATAACATCCAGTCTTCTGTTGTGAGATATTTTGGTCAATAATATCAAATCTGACATAAGATGCCATTCAAAAGAAAGGAACACCCTCAGAAAATCATATCAACAGTTTGATGTCAGTATAAACTTTAAGATAAGATATAAAAGAAAATGATAGCCTCCGGACAGTGATATGTTACACAGTCAAAGAACTCACTACAGTAAATCATGATAAGTCAGTAATTGCGGGTATGACCTCCAGCAGCCGCTTGCAGCGCCCTCATCCTACATGGCATAGCCTGTGACACGTTTTTTAGAGTTTGGGTGGGGATATCATTCCACGCAGTGATATTTGCCTGTCACAGTTCATCAATATTTGCCGGCCGAGGACCATAACTATTAATTCTGTGAGTTACTTCCGCCCACAGATTTTCAATTGGGTTCATATCTGGAGAATTTGCAGGCCAGGGCAGTTGCTGAACCCATTGGCTTTGAAGAAAAACAGTGATTCTGCGGCCTCGATTTGGGGTTGCGCAGTCGTCTTGGTACACAAAGTTGTTCCTGAAGATGACTCTTACCAATCGAAGCATTGTTCGCTGTAGAATGTCTCTGTAGGAATCCTGTATGAGGTTGCCTCCTAGAAAAACCAACTGGTTCTGGGCACCGACATGAAATGCTCCCCAAACAGAGACGTTACCATCCCCTGCTTGCAACCTAGGCAGTACACAATCATCGTGTTATGCCCCTCGTACACGACGGTGGACACGGATTCGACGATCAACCCTAAAAAATCTATATCTGGCCTCATCACTGAAAACGACGTGACCACCCCTCACATATCTGACCACAGAACATGCAACTGCATGCATCAATTGTTTCGAGAGTTGTGTGGTAATTAGGTAACACACCTGGCTACACATGGAGTGACACCTCAGCTTTGGATTTAAATTAGTTAGAGAGAAATTAAATATTTCGTAGAAAATTTACTCGCCAAAAAATAATATTCCATATTAAGTGGTAACCCTGTATGTCTGCATGCTGGTCAGCGTGAGATTTGTAAAGCCCGAGTAGAATTCTACCCGGTCGTTCAAACGGACTTTGAGAACCATTAAGATGCATTTCACCTCCTCATGGCAAGTAAACGGGTTAAGGTGTGACAGACGTGGGACGTCAAATGTAAGACTCGGACTCCCGATAGTAATACCGGCGAGTTTTCCGTGCACAGAACTAACTGAGCACTCATGGTTAATTATTTTTCTCATTCGACTGAACATATTATCATTTTGCTATCACAGGTTTCAGTGTTTTTTTTTTTTAAGTAGTAATATCTATAACACTCTGACTCGTTATAGTAATACTGGTGAGCTTTTCGTGTACAGATCCAAGTGAGACTCTACAGTCAGCCTCTCTACTCCTTCGACTGAACATATTGTTCTGTTATCACAGGTTTTGGAGTGTCTCTAATTAGCAACATCTGTCTGTCAGTATCAACGGCACTGTGATCTGGCTTCTTTTGTCGACATACGCCACGCACGACCACACAGTATACGAACATAACGCCAGCCTGGAAATAGAGAAACGTGGCAATCTGTAGTATGACTTTTACTATTATTATAAGCTTACTATCCTTCTATCAAATTATTTATCCGTTAATCCTTATTTTTATCTCGTGGTTTGTTTGTTTGCTTGTTTATTTATTATTTATTTTAAACAAACAAGTGTTTGTTCGGTGGTGTATCCATCATATGTTTTAGTTTAAAAATCTCCAACTGTTTTCTTTCGCTTCGCAACGATACTTTATGTTCCCAAAGGGGGACACTGTGTTGTGCCTTAATCATATTGAATTACAAAAGTTCCCGTAACATTATGGTACTAGCAGGATTGATCTCAGAGGTGACTTTCGCTAAGGCGCAGTCAACGTAATCAGCTTAATTGTCTTAGACAATTGGCCAGAAATTTCAAAAGGGGGGGGTCTTTTTCTGAAAAAGTGGACCTTTTACCGTGAAACGTTCATTTACCTTAATTAAATATCATCCAGAGGGGACCTTTTCCGTGCAAAAAGGGGGTTCTTCCTAAGCCCCCGA